TCTCTCTCTCTCCCTCTCTCTTTCTCTCTCTTTCTTTTTCTCTCTCTCTAATATGCACATTGTTTATGTGCGCGCGCGCGCGTGTGTGTGTGTGTGTGTGTGTGTGTGTTCTCAACAGTTAGTCTGCATGCCTGTCTACTTTTTACCCCTCATATAGGCCTATTTACAGCACATTTTGTTTTCGTAATTAACAAAAATGAACTAATTCCTGAAACAGAACTTCTCATTATACAAAACTTTTAAAAAGGAAATTACCCTGCCACATTTGCACTTAGATAGCCCTGTTGTATTACTTTATTTAGGCAAGTGTGGTCAGTGCAGGCAGAATTAAAGAAACTTTAATGTTTGTTTACTGGTCTGTTTCTATACTTTTCGTTTAACGTTTTATTTTTTTTTATTTTTTTTTGGTTCTGCGCTGGATGGGTTGGGTTTTGTTTTGTGTGTTGTTGTTTTGTTTTTTTTGTTTTTTGGGGGGGAGGTTGTTTGGCTTGGTTTTTGTTCGGTTTGTTGCTGTTGTTGTTGTTTGGGGGGGGGGGGGAGGGTAAAGCGGTTGCGCTAATAGCGTGGAAGTCGGAGTACTTCTCTTGGAAATTATTGGTCGCTTATACTTTTACCATTGCGTTAACCTCTTGATAACTTGAAAAGTAAACGTAGATCTATACACTTTTGTTCTCCCAAACGTGTCAACTGCCGTCTTTTTTCGACTGATTTACAGAGGATGTTTTAGAAGATGCATTGGTGCTTGTACAATATAAATCAACTACGACATTGTTTAATCATCTCTTGAATGAACATAATTTGATCTTGTCTGTACAAATGGTAATGGAAACGCTTTAGCGCTGAAAGGCTTCAGTTGATGAGTAGAAGTCAAAAAAAAAAGAAGACAAAAAATCATTGCACAACTCGCTAGCATTACAAATTCTTTACACTTAATGTTTTCTTTGCTTTTAAGTTGGCGCTTATATTATACGTAGTCATCAGTATAAACCAGGGCAGTCTATGTTATCTCGCTCGTACTAGTGGTATAAACAGATCTCGTATAAAACCACACAACTATATTCGACAATTTTTATCATTATATTATTTTCAAAGTTTGATTGTTTCCAAGTTGCAAGCAAGAAAAAATCATTTCTTTGTGGTTTTGTTCATATTGTATTGATTGGTTTGTTTTTTTCCCTCTAGAGGTTTGGACTCATTTTTGCAAGAGGGTCGGGGGGGATGGCACGCCCAATTACACACGTGTTCGATTCTCAACCTGGGAAAGCTTTTGTTCTGAGATAAGTTGAGAGCATTGACCTGAATTATCCTACCTACATCGGGCATTGTCATGATCCCTGTCTCTTGCTTTAAATTTAAAAACTTCCCAGCGCTGGTGCGCCTGACCGTGGGCGCACAAATGAAGGGTAAAACATTTGTCCCACGTTATAGTCTAGTGCGTGCGCAACTTTTTCTTCCTTGCCTTTTGTTCGGTTCCACGACATAAAGTCAAAGATAGTAAATAACAAGATGGGCCACTCAGCCAAAAAAGTGTCCGCAGGAAGTTCGCTCTTTGCTTCAGATGGCGTTGCAGTCTG